TGTAGGCAGACAGGACAGCAGAGAGCTGCCCCAGGAGACAGCCATGCAGTGGCCTGACTCAGCATGCTGAGTTTTTGGGTATAATTTCAAGCCCTTTTCCAAACTGTGACGTACAAAGCTTGGCACTTGTTTTATTGGAGATACTGCTTCAGTTTGTTAAAAAGAAATTGCTTCAGACATCTGCTTGTATAAATGACTACTGTTCCTTTCATTGATCTGAATGGGTTAAATTGTATATAAAAAATGGTTTAGCAGCGAGCTTTAATTTAATCAGTCTATTAGATCAGAAATGCTCCTTGGATCTCCAGAGAAGTTTCTTTGATTAGAAGTTCATTAGCTGCTTTTGTCTGGGTTGTTCTCTGCTTAAATTAATGTATTAAATATACTTCGCCTGTTAAAGGAAAATCTTAATTTACAATTCACGTGCTTACTCTCTCTTCCAAAGCAGCGCTGTGTGGTTTTATTTCCAAATATTGGCAAGCATAGCTAAACACTTGTCTGTTACACGGTTTCAATGGTATTGCTTTTGTGAAGTGGTTGTGAGAACTGCCACTTGGGAAGATTTGGTGACTAACTGAATTAGGACCTCCTACAAATGCAATGCTTTGAGACTCTCTAGCCTCAGGAGAGGATATTTCAAAAGCTGTATTTAGTATTTTGATTCATTGCTCTTGAACTTTAAACATTGCTGTAGCGGCAGATTTTTTTTTTTCCCTCATTTGGCATGCTGTAAATAAATCTGTGGGCAGGGGTTTAATGTAACTTTTCACTCAAATGCAACACAAAAATACTCAAGAATGAAAAGGGGTGATTATAAAGGGTTATTTATAACAGTCTGTTGATCTCCTGACTTGCTTGTGTTGAGTTCCCCATGCTTGAGTTCAAAATAGTGACAGTGCTAAGGAGCAGAGCATGTTTCCTTCGTTACCCCCTCTTCCACTATGGATTTAACCAGGTACTGCTCTTTAGTTCAAGTACGATGCTTGAATCTTCTAAACTAACATAGTAGAGGGGAATTGAAAACACTTGCTTACTGGAGACCTGCAGTTGGCTCGCCAGGGCCTCTAACCTCGTGGGTGACGCCTGTGCTGATGCAAAGCCTCTGGGAGACCAGGGGGACAGGGAGGGTGCCTGCCTGGGCACAGCTGGAGCAGAAACCAGATAAAGCATTTTGGGGAATTCTGCAGCCTTTTCTGCAGGGTCCACCCTGAGCAGACTGTGCCACTTCATTATGAAAAGTGCAAGAGGTCCTTGGTTTTGCTCTGAGGTTACCCCTCAGTAGTGGGTTTACTTGTACTGTGTAACTTTGATGTTAAGCGTGTAGAAGAAAGTAAACAAAAAGAAGCATTGTAAAGGAAACAGCCTTGTCAAGTATTTGCCATGTGAACAGGCAGATCCCTATGTCTGGTTCTTCTTTTGCAAGTAGATTCTCTCATTGAAGTGGAGCAGCATAAAGGCGTGCGTTATTAACACTTTAAGGTGACATCTGCCCTGCTCCTATGTGTGAAGATAACCTTTAAAAATTCTTGTACATAAGGTTAACTTTCTGTTTTCAGAATATTTAAGCCAGAAGCTTAGTAAATGTTTGAAGCCAAGGATGATGCTTTATTACATTGAAAGGAAAACAGAAGTTTTTGAACTGTTAAATCTGACGGGATCTTCCGTGGCTTGCAAGTCCTTTTAGTTCATCAGGAAAATTTGTAGCAAGTGTTTAGGCAAGCGCTTATCTGCATGCAGCAAGCAGCTCTGCTGAAGTCAATAATGCAAAGTGATTATTTTTGCAGTGCGACAGTGTTGAGTTCTTCAAATATGAAATACTTGCTTCACTCCTGCTCATCTGTTCCATCCCACTTCCCTTTCTCAAGATCCTAGATTTAAATCCAGGCTAGCCTCAAACTCATTACAAAAAGTGTTGCCCTGTGGTAGTAATTTAGCATTATTTTTTATGGAGCCGTGCAAGGTATAAAATGAATCCAGCAAATCATAAAACTTGAATAGGTGGAAACATCAGAAATTATATTAAGAATTTCACACATAAGTTATTCAGTAATAATAATAACCTTTTATGCTTTTTGGTGTCTAGAATGGCTGTAAAAATGTACAGCACTGAAAACTCAGAGCCTTATGAGGTTTTTGCTGGGGTTTTTTGTGGAGTGTGGTTTGGTGTGTTTTTTTTTTTTTTTTTTTTTTAATAGAACTGTGTGCAAAGCCAACCTGAATGAGTCAAGTGTCCCAAAGTCTTAAAACCAGGGGTCAGCAAATGAGAATTTGGGATTTAGGTAATTTAGGTAAACTTCAAAAGTGGGTATTTATGGAATGGGAAAATAATTTTATATAGTTTACATTTCTGTTTTGAGTTGCAGCATTTAATTGTGTAAGGTATGGTTTGTTGCTGCTTATATAGGAGCAGAATCTGTTTTGTCTGGAGAGACAATCTGCCTCCCCACCAGGACACTTGCAAATTGTCTGGGAGACTGGGGGCTCCAGCACTGTTAAATGTAAAGAGAAGGCGAGCTCTTCAGGATTTCAGAATCAATGGGACTGACTTGCTCTTTTGTTTATTTCTTTTTAGCCATGCTGGTAAGTGGTTGAACAGTTGTGAACAGTTTGCAACCCTGTGAATGCTGTTTTGGCGTTCAGGCAGGATTTAGAAATGGACAGACCCCAGGGTGCTAGTGTGAGCTCCTCATACCTCTTTAGGATGTTTTTTAACGCTCAATATTGTAATTCTGCATCACATTCTCCAGCTACAGTCTGCTGTCACATGGTGTAGGTGAAAGATGACCCTTAAAAAGTTAATTTATTCCTGTTTCTTCAAGTGGAAGAAAGCAAATTACCGTGCTTTAGTAAGGTCCTATTATCAAAGGTTGTGGGAAACACACAGTGGGTTAAAATCGGACGCAAGAAACTTTTAACACTCCCGAGACATTCACTCTGCCTCCCTGAAGGACAGTACAGCCTTTGAGGGCAGCAGTGGAAGGGGCTCCTGACCTCCAGGGGTCAGAGCATCTCCTGGGGCAGAGAGGCTGGTGGGAGACAGAGGCACTCCCAGCTGCCCCTGGCTACACACCCTGCATCAGTCAGTCCTTGGGCTGCATCCATGCCGGGGCAGCGTACGTGGGGGCACTGGAGCAGAACAGACCCCAAGAGTGGTGATGCCTTGTCAGCCTGTGCTGTGCACCCTCTCATGCCCGAATGTGGGAGAGTGAAGTGGAAGCTGAGACCTTCGTGCCTGTTCCCACTCTCCAGGCTCTCCGCACCACTGAAATCCTCCTTTAATCAGTGACTTTGGCTATTTTTTTCTCTAGCACCACTGCACTGTACAAATAATTTATCCCCAGGATTGCTTAATACAGGTTTCCTTAATGCCTTGTTTTGCTAACCTCTGCTGCCCAGTTTCTGTGACAGTAGTTGTAGTTGAGCAAGCACAGAACTTAGTGTGAAACTATGACTTCCATCTGTTATTTGAAATAGTCCATTTTCTCATACTTGCCAAAGAACTGACGGTATGGTCATTTGGGAGTGGGGGTGACTGCTCAGCACTATAGTCTTAAATGGTATGGATAACTGTAATTCTTGGGTGTCTCGGGTGTGCTCTTTTTTGCAGTTTATGTGTCTGTGTCGCCACTGAAGATGATGAGTACATTTGAAAGAGTTGCTGGTTTTGCCACACCTGATGATTTCAGAAGCTCCATTAGGAGAAGATGCTGAAACTGAAAACTGTGTCTTACAATATCAGCTTTGCTGGGCAGATTCACATTATTGAAAACAGATAAACTGAGTAGGTTTTTTGCAAGATCAAAGGAAAATTGGATCGTGAGAGGCTGTTGTCCGGATAATGCTAACATCATGTCTTTTTCATGAGGACATAATTGGATAGTGTTCTTAAGGGATATGGATTTCTGTGGTCCACTGCCCTCAGCAGAGGGCCTGGAACAGGAAACAAATGAAACATGCTCATTTATTGAAGTTTTGCTGTGGATAGGAAGTTTTTACTTTGAGGCTTTATCTTTATTATAAAAGGTACATCCTAGCTGTGAAATGACTTGACATACAGTGTTTGTCAAGCTATTGGAAATCAGGCAGTGTGGGTTTCATGGGTAGGCAATCAAGTGCTAGCAGGCTGTAAGGGCAGCATTTAATTGTCTGGTAGGTGTGAGCTCCAGTGTCCAGACTTCAGTGGGATTTTGCAGTAGGGTAGCTTAGTTATGCTGCTACTAAAGAAAATAGTCTTTCCTCTAGGCAGAAAAGCTTAGCCTTGGAGTTGGTGGTAGGTGATGTTTTTAAGTCTCTTCCTGTAATATTTGGATCTTGTGCATTTTCTTGTTCTCTGAAGGTTGTAACTGAGGATGTGGACTCTTAGGTCAGTGCTAGAGGAACCCTTTTGGAGATGCCCACCCCAAAATAAGCTGCGTTTGATGACATCGTTTGGAGGCATATTCCCCTGAAGCTTCCTGTTTGCAGGAATTGCAAACCCTCTCTATTCAGCTGTGTTTAAATAGATACTTAAAGGCAGATATGAGACATACGCTTATACAAGAATGGTATTTCTCCATCCTCATACTACACCTAAATCTCTTTTCTCTGGTATTTTGACACAGTTTCAAATATTTGTCTAACACCATTTCAATTTTTTAATGGATTGCTGAATTAAGTTTTATACCCACCCTTTGAACTAAGCAGTGCAGTCAGTTGATGGCATATACTAAGGTATTATACCTCTCTTTGAGCAGAGAAGCAGCACAAATAAGGCTCCTATACACACAGAAAGATCTGAACTTGTATTTGAATATGCAGTATTTGTCTTCTGGTGACTTCTAAATATCAAGCATCCATGAAACGGGAAAGCTTTTTCAATATTTTGATTTAAATTAGTAAAACATCACCCTTAATCTAGATTTATTTCCAGTAATTTCATGGTTTAATAGAAAAATAAAATATGTGAACGTGTTCAAAACACCTGAAATGCCTGCCTAACTGAATGTGCTTTTCCTTTGCAGGATGTCGTCTGGGGGTTAAACTCTTTATTTACTGTAAGTAAATGAATATTTTGCATACCCACTTTCCTTTTCCTACCTGGTTTGGTTTCAGCATCACCTAATGTGGACACTGTCTGTTGCCTCTTAAATTTAAGGTCATTATTTCCTTTGGCTTCAGTGGGTGTTGTACAAGTGTGAAATCAGTTTGTGCTTTTATTTGTATAACTGCAACACTCATACAGATGGTCTGAAATGCCAGCTTTGTCGTACATTGTTTTTACTTCTGTTACAAATCTATTATGGGATATTTTGGTAACAAGTTACTTGGGATCTTCCACACTGTATGAAAATTATTCTGCTGGTTTGCAGGAAATAGAAATTCATATTGCTCTGAGAAGGAATTGTGTTGGTTTTAATGTTTTTTAAAAAGGATATTTAGGAATTGATGACTGCCCTGCAGTCTCATTCCTGTTTTGAACACTTATGTTCCTGTTCAGGGGCCTCGGTACCCACCCGCAGAATTTGCATAAGCCTCGACTTGTTGCAGAAATGATATGATTTTGTTCAGGGATCCCATTTTCCCCCTTTTCCTTAGATTGACAGGAGCAAGAAACCTGTGCCTCGTAATTACAGAAGCAACTTAAAAATGGAGGAGAGGGCAGGAAGCTGCAAGAAGCAGGCAGGATGCAGCATCCGCTTTGCCCTAAAAGCGAAGAAAGGCTAAGTCTTTACTGTACAAAAGCTGCCTTTTTTAGGGAGTCCAGGGTTATAGTTCCCTTCCACAGCCATTGCTGCTGGGTAGGAAGGTCAGAAGAAAGCAAAGAAAGGCACTAACTTGGTTACCATGTTTGTCATTGACTGTGGAGAGAACTACCCCAGCCACTCCAGGGTGTCCAGAGGAGGCTGTGAAAAGCTTTGGATGAGGAACATCGCTGTGGGCTTTGCTAGCCCGAGCCTGTTTTCAGAGAGAGCAATTCCTTCCACTGCTACCTGCAGGAGGAGGGGCAGAGCAGTGACCATGCTCTCAGCACTATCACCAGGATCATGGTGTGTTTCTAAAACCTCTAGCATAGACCGAGCTGGTGACTGGCTACGATTTCCTAAGCTTTCCTGGCATCCAAAGGCTAGATTTTTTTCAACAACTTCTTTGGTAAATTGATTTTGAAGATTGGAGAGCATTTGCCTTTGCAACAAAGAGTAATTGCATTTCACAGTTAGTCTCCCACTGCATGCTAAATAACTGGAAGAAAGCAAAATCCACTGGAGGTACAAAGAAGTGCCTTCAGAGGCAGAACTGCACGTAAAAATAATCCGTTGGGCAAACAGCTGCAAAGAGCGATGGTCACGCATCAGAGACCACGGGGATTTGTCATGGCCAGTAAGAGCCATGCTTCCCAGCTTGCCTCTTGGATTTCCCTCACACCCAGCTGCTTATAAATAATTAGGCTTTGAAAAGCTGGCATTGGATTGTACTGGCCTTGCAGATTCTTTTGGGGTGTTCTTGAAGACAGTGAGTGAAAATAAGGTGGATTGGTGTCCTGGTTTGAATAAAATGGGAGGCTTGCTGCTTGAGAATGAGTCGGAGAGCGACACGAACCTTTCACACTTGTGAAATGATGGCATTTCACTGCTTGCAGGCTAACCTTAAACTGGAGAAAGTGTTCTGGGCTGCAGGCAGAATAGGGGTTTTTGTGATTCAATGTTATTTTTTATGATAATTCTTCTTTTATCAGCATCTTGGTTTCCTTTGGTTTTAACCCTAGACCCTTTCTCCTTCTGAAGTTAATATTTATTGAGATTAAACTGACAGACCTGAGATTTATTTTGATTATTTCTGCTCCCTGGCCCCACGTGCCCGTAGCTCTCGGGGTCGTTGCACTCCCTTTCCTCTCGGCCCTGTTTTTTTGCATTGCACTAAAACTTTACTGTCTGTCAGGCTCCAGGTTATGTAGTTTCTTCACAGAGGGAATTAAATTGCTTTGCTATGGTGTTAAGAAAGCTCTTCCTGCTTTATCACCAGGCTGTTTGCAGGGGTTTTTTAAGGGTTTACTTCACCCTTGAACAAAAATCAATAGGAATTGTGCCTTCTGAAACTTTGAATGTTCCTTCAAAATTTGATTTAAAACTGTCTCAGTTTTCAAATAGAAATGCACCACTGCCAGAGAGAAGTGTCACAGGGGTGTGTGTGGCTTGACACCAGATGGGGTCGAGTGTCTTGCTGCTGTTGTCCTTTAATTGACTTGTAATTTGGTTTGCAGTCATCAAACTCTACCTTTGGCAGGGATACTATCAAGGTAGTTGGAAAATGGCACTACGCTTGCTGGTCTTGTTTGCTTTGTTTCACTATCTTGTTCATTAGGGCTTTGGATTCCTGGTATGACGCAGTGAGTGGGAACCCTATAATGTTCTCTGTTTCTTTTCTAGGATCTTTTGAATTTTGACGATCCTTTGAATATTGAGGCTGCAGAGCATCATCTGCGTGACAAGGTGAGTCAGTGGTTTATTTAAAGCATCTTGTTCCTAAACAAATACTACATACTGTAGTCGGCGATTCCCAGTCAGTCCTTTTAAAGCATTTGAGCTGGTACTTCATGCAGTTGAGTGACTCATTGTTTCAGCAACCAGTTATTCAAACAAAATGTGTTTTATCTGGGAAAGTAAACTCGACACAGTAGTGTTATTCACCATATGCTAGAATTGTTGACCATAATGTAGTCATATCCCCCAAACAGATGAGATTTTCCTTCTTGTTTCTGGGACTTTCCCTGAAGTTGTACATGTTCTGTGCAGCAAATGATAGGGAATTTGTTTGGCACAGTTAGATGAGTAGCCTTTACCTTAACAGGCCTGCAAAAAGATCTCATCGGTCTGTGTCTCTTTCAAAATGCAACTTTTTTCTTCACAACTCTTACATGTTGCATGCTTTTATTAAGCCAGGAGAAATCTGAGCACATTTGAAAGACAGGAGTGGAAACTTTATTTTCTTTTTACTGATCCTATTTGTTTGGTGTGTATTATGGACTGGGCAAAGCAAAACATGGTGTTGTTTAATGGCCTGATGAATATCTATGAGATGCACCTCTCAACTGAGATTGAGCGTGGAGGTAGAGGGAAACAAAGTACTAACTTCCCTCTTGTATGGATCTCTGAAGTTGTGTCATGTTACATTGTATAGATGCATACCTCAAGCATATAGAAATTACACTTGGCATGTTCAAGATCTCGTTTTAATTAAAAACTTCTGATACTTTTGCTGAAGTTAACCTTAAAACTTGAAGAAAGTTTCCAGGTAAATGTTGATTTGAAGAGTTCATTGAAAATGCAAAGTTAGGCAGTGCACTTAATTTATCTCATTTTTACAAGAGGAAATATCAGGATTGCAAGTTCATATTTTAGCTGTTTTCTTGTTTAATGAGATCTTGTAGCTATTCTGGTATTTGTCAGTGTTTGTAGGGCTGGGATGAGACTATAAGCCCAAAGTGAGAAAAATTTAGTAGGCACCTACTCTGGAAGAGGTTTTTTTAATGGTTTTGTTATATCATTTTGGCAAAGAGTGCCAGGAAGCCTTCCAAGCCATAAAACACTGAAAGGAGTCACAGAGGGGATACAGCCCAAGAAACAAAACCGGTGTAGTGAAGGTAGCAGGCTGAATCATTTTCTTTGTTTGCATTGTTAGACTGAATTATTCTCTAATATCTTGCCAGCGAAATTTGTAGCTCTTTGGGAATGGCAAAGCTACACACCTATTGCTGAGTGTTGAATTTGGCACTTGATTTCTTCTAACTGCCAGAGGGAAAGTGGTTTGTCTGGTGTCTGGGTAGGTTTTTGTAAGGAGACATGCTCTCATAGTACTAGTACAGTCTTGTGTCAGATGTGCTGAGGCTGTGGTAGATGAGCCTTATCGGTTCTTCAAGTAAATTATTAGACCTCAGACCAGCCAGACAGTAACATCCTCTTCCCAGAGAGTGATGAAATGCTAAGAAATCGCTGTCCTGCATGTTTCAACCTCATTCAGAAATTGGAAATCTTGTGAATCCACAGAAATGAAGTGTTACCTGCTTTTAAAAACACACCTCCCTCAAAAACGGAGAGGTGAGTACTCAAAAGACGTATTGCTACACTAATAGCATGGAAGGTGGGTTTGGTTTTTTTCTTTCCCCCAGATAAAAGCAGCTGTGGAAGAAGTGAGAGGGAAATCGAGGTTTTTTTAGTCTTCTCAATTAAAAATATTTTTGGAACAAACTTTTTTTTATTTAGTAAACTCTAAGTAGTCTCCACAGGCATCTGTAAAATTCATGTTCTGCCATGTTAACTTTTTTTCTGGAGCTTATCTGAATTTAGGTTGGGTATTTCATTGATAGTGACAGCACCAGGTAGTGCTGGATTTTCCATAGGACATCTTACAGCAACATCAAGACAAAACCAATAATGCTTGTCTGGAGAGAATAAATTATGCAAGGGAGAGAAATGGCTGCCTTTACAATTAGCCTCAAAGAATGCAATTGCAGCATGAGTTAGTTTTTGTCTCTCTCGGGCATAGATGTCATGCGGTGTATAAGCACTTTGTTGTGAAGTCAAACTGCTGTGGTTCTGTCCTGTCTCTCAAGAAAATACTTGCAATGCGCAATATGATTAATGTGTGAATGCTAATAAATTTTCCCTGAGACATTTTTACGTAGTACAATTATACAAATAGTGTATAAGTAATATGTATGCCCGCATGCACAGTTTATATACAAACAGATGTGCAAATATATCTATATACAAATAGTTTTGTATACAAATATCTGTGTTTAACAGATACTGTAAAAGAATGCCTTTGGTCATTTGACAGCGTGGGAGTATATGGCTTGTAACAGCCAAACCAAATGTACCTCAAGCTGTCTTCTGTGGTTCTCCTGGAAGAGATGATTCAGTATTTCACTGATGCCATTTCAGATTTCAAATCCTGGGATCCCTTTGCTGACATTCCAGGCTAAGTGTGGCTGCCCGAGAGGTTAACAGCTACTCTGAAGCCTGCCTCTGGTTACTGAAAATGTGAAACTGGAGTTTGTTCAGTTCTGTAGGCTGCTATTAAGTCATCAAAAATGTCTGCCGCCTTGCAGATGATGGAAGAAGTCACATCATAGATATGAAATCCTGATTATTGGTTCTTGGAAAACAGTTGTGCTGTGAATGTTTGTGTTACAGATCAGGCTGTGAGGGAGTTATGATCTCTTCCTGCATAAGGAACCTCTTAATTTTTGCATCAAATCTATGGCTTATACCTGAGCACGTAGTTGTGGTTTTGGGGAAAGCAGCCTTGTTCTAGGATGTAAAAATGATTAAAAAATTTCAAGCTCAAGTTGTTCAATTAATTGCTTTAAAAAAACTGTGTCTTGTCTGAGACCTGAGTTCGTGCAGCTTCAGCTGCACAGGTCCTTGGGGGCCTCCTTCAGCTCAAGGAAGGAGATGTCAGTTACTGAACCTCTTCCCTTGCAGCTTCGTTCAGCCAGTGATCATCAAGTCAGTTTTAAACAAATTATTTTTTTAAAGTACGTACGAATGTCTGTGCAGCTTGAGTAATTCTACAGTTCTTCCACACACACTTTGCAAGATGTCAGTAACTTTTTGGAACGTTGTACAATAAATTTAGGCAGAGTCATCAAACGTGCATTTTCACAAATGCTAGATAAAGAGATTATCTCAATATTTAGGCTTGCTAGCCCTCTACTTGTATATCTGAAACTTACCGTCTTATCAGCTACAGAATTGATCTGGAGACCTATGTTGTAATTGGCTGTTTTCATCAAAAGACCTTTTCAGTGACAGAGGATGCTGTCTGCCACCTTGTGTAACTTAAATTTTTCAGAGATAGGATGCCCGTATTTGCCGGCATTAAATGGTCCTGTTCAAGTGATTTCATTGTCATTGCAATCAATTTTGTAAGGCTTTGGTTTTGCCAATTGTGAGTTTATCTTATGATTGTCATCAAGTGATATTGGATCCTCCAAAGCTTAGTTACCCGCACCATAATCTTTTTCCATATCCGCAGTCAGATGTTCCCCCTTTCAGCTCATGAGCTCAACCTCATGTTCTCTTGCCATGCACCTGCGAGAAGGCTCTGTCCTCTTGGTAACCTCCTCCACAGTACTGGGAGGCTGCTTTTAGGTCCCCCCAAAGCCGCCTCCTCTCCACCAACACACCCTGTTCCTCAGCCTCTCCTCGCTCTGAGGCCTTCCCAGCAGAGCTGTCCCCAGCCTGCCATCTGGGACTGTCTCCGTGCAGGGGCTGAGTGTGTCCCAGGGGCAGGGCTTCGCATTTGGCCTTGCTGAGCCTCCCGAGGCTGCTGTCAGCCTTTCTTCCAGCCCACGCAGGTCCCTCTGTAGGGTGGATTTGCCCTCCAGCATGTTGACTGCGTCCTCTTTAGTGACTGTATTTCTGTAGACCTGGTGCCAACTTTCACACTCAGCCAGTTTTTAAACTCAAACCTTCTTACAAGCTTGTTGACAATGGCTTTCAGCATTTAATAAAGCATTCAGATAAAATTGTAGTTTCCCTTCACTCTTCTCCCACCCCCTCTCCCTGCCTTTGTTTAACTCATAATTGTTTCCAGCTAAAGAAAAGTTTGCATCGTTTATATTTGTAGTGTTACTTTTTAGAATATTCCTGATGCCCACATTGCACTGCAGTTAGGTCACAATCACTGGAAGATAAGCAACCATCCTCTCTTGGTTTAGAGCTCTATAAATCAGAATAATGAGATGATTGATATCTCTATGTAAACTAAGTAGGTGTTTCCCAACATTCAGTCTTCTCATGCTGATACAATCTCCTTAGTTTGGTAGTATGAGTTTTCCTGTGGAATTTAAAGAACTGCTTAGCTGTGGGACCACTTTGGATTTAGCAGAGAAGTCAGCCTGTCAGTAATTATGTGGATGGCCAGAGCCATTAATCGTCAATAGAATTGATTCCACAGATTCTTAAGCAATGAGCAAGTGTTTAAGTTTTAATGACTACTCACTTAAGAATTATGTGCTAAAAATTGAAGGATTTGCTTTTTGTACAGTGAACAAATAGGGCTCTCTTGATTTGCTTTCTGTGGCAGCCAGCTAGGCTGAATACTGAAAGAATAGGGATACACCTTGGTAATACAAAACAGAATCAGCTTAGTAGCTCAGGACTTGTGTATTCTTTAGCCAGAGGTGCTATGGGCACTGTGTCTGCTATTTGTTAGCTGAAATCTAGAAAATACTTTCCATGTGTACATCTGTCATGGTTGTTTTGAGATACTATCTCAGAACATTGCAATTCACTGGGTTCCTTAAAAGCCATTATATTTCCTAGTAGTGGTTGCCTTTACAAAAAAAAAAAAAAAAATTTCAAAGCCATATGTGCAGTACACAATGAGAAAATTCATTATACTGTTCATGTGGCTTAAAGCAGAAACATTTTTCCAAATATTCCTTAGCTTTCTTCCTTGCCGAGGCCTGCCATATCAAGAATGC